AGGATATATATATTTATTCACTAATATGACCAGTCAAAGTTATTGACTCTTGTCTCACTATTGTGCCATCTAATTTTTGACATTTGACCATTTAAGGAATTAAGTGTGCTAAAGACTTGGTGACGGAAGACAACATTAGTGAATTGATAGCTCATTTAATTTCTCTTTACTGTCCTCTGGAGACTAGAAAAGCTATGTACTATATTGATTATAAAAAATAAGAATATGGTAAAAATGAATATGTAATAGATGTGATATCACAAGAGGATTAATATGGTATCATTATTATCATAATGTATCAATGATATCATAATACATCACGATTTTAACTTTCATTTTTGAATAAATTTATATTACTGTTAAATAACTCAGTTTCTGCATATTTTGCAAATTTGTTTAACTTTTTTGGGGTACAAGCTGAAACTTGGCCTCTTCTCATGATTTTCAATATTACTGATAAATGACACTATGATAGTGCTGAAATGATGTATCATGATAGGACATGCCACGATATGCATATTGTATTGCAACGCAGTGCATCGATACTTGATGATACCTTTTATTCCATAAATAAGTGGGGATTTGTATCAGTTGTTTTATGATATTATAAGATATTTTTCACTGAAATTAGAAACTTTTTATTGGACAGTTGGACGCTTACCACTTCTATCAACTATGTTACTGAATGTCACAGTTAGAGAGTTATAATATATATAGAAATTATGAAGATAAAATGTTAATTTGTATCCCATTACCTCATATTGCAGCAGGGGGTTTTTATGATCTTTAAAATCCAGCATTCCAAGGGATTTAATCACAAAGGGCTTGCCCTAAAGTATTTTCTGTGGGAAAGGATTTTAAATGTCATAAAAACTTGAGGGAAAATGTTTTACCTGGCTTATAAACAAACAAGGATTCATTTTCTGAAGTTTTTCGTTTGAAAAAAAAAAAATAATAATGAAAATAAGGGTAGAGATCAAAATTTCATCAACCAGTGAGCTAGACTTACAATTTGTGAAACAAGGAAAATTTGACGTGTGTCAATTCAACCTTGATATATCTCTCTGATATTCTGTAATTTGAAGAAAGTAAGTCATATCTTGTTCATTTTGATTGGCTCTCAGAAACACTAACTTTCGTCATTGAAAATGTCATAATGTAATGACTTTCTTGGTTTAACCACCGGCAGTCAAGGTTTTGTATCCATCCTTAAAACATGTGACAATACCTTGCTAATCAAAACCAAAAAATCTCACACTTGACCAAAAGCTGACTTATTAGGTTTTGCCATTGGATGGTAGAAGTGATGATGTAAACAACAGGTTAAGTATCATTCTACCAAATCTGATATACAATACAAAATGTAAGACAAAATGTATCACTCGAGCACAACTTACACATGATAGTATCCACTGGAGTTAAAGAACGTCATCCCTACGGTTTATAAATTCAAAACATTCTCTGGTAAAAAAAAAAAAGGTTTTCTAGCAAAGAGGTGCAACTGGTATATGTACAAACGTGGACAATTCAGCTGACGACCATTGAGCTAGACTATGTGTTTGATAAGATAACTGGAGTCAATATGAGTTGAGATAATTACCATCTAGAATATCCCTGTGATTTTCTATATAATATCCCTGTGATTTTCTATATGATATCCCTGTGATTTTCTATATATAATATCCTGTGATTTTCTATATATAATATCTCTAAGATTTTCTATATAATATCTCTGAGATTTTCTCTATAATATCCCTGTGATTTTCTCTATAATATCCCTGTGATTTTCTCTGTAATATCCCTGTGATTTTCTATATAGTATATCTGTGATTTTATCTGTAATATCTCTGTGATTTTCTCTATAATATCCCTGTGATTTTCTATATAATATCCCTGTGATTTTCTCTATGACATCTCTGTGATTTTCTATATAATATCTCTGTGATTTTCTATATAATATCCCTGTGATTTTCTCTATAATATCCCTGTGATTTTCTATATAATATCCCTGTGATTTTCTATATGATATCCCTGTGATTTTCTATATATAATATCCTGTGATTTTCTATATATAATATCTCTGAGATTTTCTATATAATATCTCTGAGATTTTCTCTATAATATCCCTGTGATTTTCTCTATAATATCCCTGTGATTTTCTCTGTAATATCCCTGTGATTTTCTATATAGTATATCTATGATTTTATCTGTAATATCTCTGTGATTTTCTCTATAATATCCCTGTGATTTTCTATATAATATCCCTGTGATTTTCTCTATGACATCTCTGTGATTTTCTATATAATATCTCTGTGATTTTCTATATAATATCCCTGTGATTTTCTCTATAATATCCCTGTGATTTTCTATATAATATCTCTGTGGTTTTATCTATAATATTTCTGTGATTTTCTCTATAATATCCCTGTGATTTTCTCTATGATATCCCTGTGATTTTTTATATAATATTTCTGTGATTTTCTCTGTAATATCACTGATTTTATATTTAATATTCCTGTGATTTTATTTACTATCCACATGATTTTTTATATAATATTCCTGTGATTTTCTATATAATATCCCTGTGATTTTCTCTATAATATCCCTGTGATTTTCTATATAATATTTCTGTGATTTTCCTGTGATTTTATTTACTATCCACGTGATTTTTTATATAATATTCCTGTGATTATATTTACTATCCAAGTGATTTTCTATATGATATCCCTGGGATTATATTTGAAAGGGATTTTTTGAGATATAAAATACTGCCAGAACAAGGTGGTGACATCACTAGAGGTTCATAATTGTTTTTTTTTATTCTTCAATATCAAGTGTATATTTTTTCCATGTCAAGGTTATTTGAGAAACTTTCATAGATCTGAGCTACACATTAAGCCATAAGCAAAGTACTTGACTGGCATATATATGTAGGAGGATTATTATTATCACCTCAAGAAAAAACTACAACCTTGACTACAAAAATGAGACGAAAACACACTGGAAGTCATTTAATCATCTTTTTCATATGTTTTTATCTACACTGTCTATAAGGATAATCTGTATCACTTTTCAAAATGAAAACCTGATTTTTTATTTATTTGCAATATAGTCAAAATGTATCATTATTGATTGGATTTAGATTAAGCATATTATTTAACTAATGGCTGATTCAAGTCTTTTCAATGTCAAAATAATATGGAAGCCTGCCAAACTTGAAATTTTCAGTCTTAAGACACTGCGTGATACTTAGATTCAACAAAAATAACTATGAGCATTAAAAAAAAGATGAAAATAAAAACAATGAAAAGCACTTAAAAGATCATTTTGAAATATTGGATTTGAGTTTAGTAAATATATTGTTTACAACATGGCTGAATGATATCTGATATTGCTATTAATCAATTTAACAATATTGTTAATTCTATTGAGGTGGTGTTTTTTATCGCGTCTGCGTGCATGTTAAAAGGTTAGCAATGTGTTTATGGTTACTGTTTATTTGATTGGATTTGCCACCTTTTTATTCATGAGGCATGTTGACTGATTATTTCACACATCTTCAGTGATGATGGATGATGTAGAAAGGTTGACTAGTGAATTAGTTCATCATACTTTTTAAAAATCTTTAAAACTGCATATTGTGCAATATTAGCCACCTTTAGTCATTTTTAATGTCTTTGTCTGCCCATGGACTTTTTTAGTAAATAAAAGTTAATTAATTTAAAGTCTTTGAAGAAATTTTGGCATTGTTAGCCAATTTTTGTTAACTTTGTAGCTCAAGTGACTAGCTCGAATAATAGTAAGGAATATAAGATTATGAGTATTAGTGCTTGTTTGTGACAGATTTCCAACTAAGCAATAAGCACTCTGATCCAAATCTATACAAGGCTTTGTATGCTTTTGCTATTCACATCTGGGTTCTTATCAAAACATGAGCACTAGAGTACTCAGCTATGTTTGCCTTCCTACTTCTATATGCCTTACAAAGAATATACTCAGCTATATTTTGATAAGCTATACAGACTTATCTTGTATTCATTATATAAATTACCTAATATAAAATAAACTGGTGTGTTTTGAATCATCTGCTGATGTCCACAAACATCTTTACTTAACTATACTAGCTTGTAATACTGTAAAGTCAGCAGAAGCAAAAATACTTAGACGTTACTTTACTTCAAGTACAAAGCCCATTGTATGAAGAATCTTTGTCATCTTGAAAAACACTACTGAAAAGATCAATATATTGATAAGAGTTATCTGGAACATAATGGAACTGATGGCTTATAATAGAAACAATATGTTATTAAACCTCCCACATATAAACATTTTTATCTTTATCATTCAGTGCATGTCGTCTTTTTGTCAATGAGTTCATGAACTATTTACTTCATAATAACTTTATATTTTTAAAGCTTGACCAGAGCATTATATCTGAAAATGTAACATTAACAGTAGTTTAGTTTATATTATTGGACTTTCAACAGAACTAAGAGTTTTGATAATATGATGATATTTATTATAATAACATGTAGTATTTTCACTATAAATAGTAGCCTACTCAATGCACCAATTGATTATAGTTTAAGTTTTACTATAAAAGTTCTAGTATAGCCCACTAATAAAAGATTTGAAAACATAATCATAGACAAATAATTACAACTTCTATTTACATCCTATCAAGTTCCTAAATTTAAGCTTGACCAGATTCTGAAGTTACTACCCAAAGAATCATTTTGAATTTAGGGCTGTAAGATGTTTTTTTTAGTGATCTATCCATAGCCTATTATTGGTCTATTTTTAAGCAGATTGTTACATATAACATTTCTCTTTTGACATCTATATTAATTAATTCATGACACCAATATGTAAATTTCACATATATTTAATGCATTTCACATGCTATTTTACAGATTTCTGCAAAGACATGTTTAATATGACAAGTATTGTCTTGAATTTAATTTTTTGATATCTTCCTACCCTATCTATTGTACTTTCAGGCCAGAAGTCCATCAGAAGTTCATTGTAGTGCAGATTCTAATAAAGCACAAAGAGAGTTGATTGGACAATTAGAAGCCAAAAACAGGTAAGCTTAAGCATTTATATAAAGCTTCTTCTTCATCTGATCAGCATTTTAGCAGATCAGCCATATGATTTTTGTATATCAGCCATCTGGATATTGACAGTTCAGCCATCTGAACATTGGCAGATCAGCCATCTGAATATATGCAGATCTGCCATCTGAATTTTAGCAGATCAGCCATTTGATTGTTAGCAGATCAGCTATCTGATTGTTAGCAGATCAGCTATCTGATTGTTAAATCAACTATCTAAATTTTAGAAGATCTGCCTTTTAAATTTTAGCAGATCATGCAGTCATTTGAAATTTACATACATAGCCATATATATGACTATTGTTTCAAATAGAAATATACTTGAATGAAATGATAATATTTTATTCAATCTAAAGCTGTAATGAAGTAAAGTTATATAAGATTTAAAACTGTTTTGATAACAACAACATTATAGATTAAAGATAATAAATCAACTCTTATCTAGACAAGAAAATACTGTTAAAACTTCTAATGATTATCAATATTGTATAGTTTTTGATTAAAATTTGATAATCACAGCTTATTGATCTAAAAATAGATATATTAATTGCTATTCAACATTTCTATTTCACTACTTGTAATGTGATGTTCAATAAGGCATTGATTTGTATAATATAAACAACTATGTAGGGGTATAATGTTAAGAGGGAAAGGAATCAAACAGAGGATTTTTAATAAAGCATCTTTACAGACACAAAAAATGGCATATTCTTCAATGGCTGACTCGATTACATCTTAATGCTGGATTTTTCTGAGTAAACCTGCAGTCAGTGTAATCTTCAGAGGTAAATGAGGGGGTGAGATCTTTTGAACCCCTAGTAGGTCTTCCTAAGGCAGACCTTCCTAGACCTTTGGATCTATGTCATTACTGACATTCAAAACTGTGAATTTAATATTTCAGCCCTTTTAGAAATGTAGAAAAGTATCCCAAACAGTTATTGAGTATGTGCACAGTTTTTCCAACAATTGTTTAATGATAATATGCAATATAAATATAACATATGTATTGATTTGGATAACATTCTATCAACTTGTCAACAACCATTTCCTTTTCTCGCTCTTTCTTATTGGAGGTAATTATGATGTATTGTTGAGCTATAATGGAAAAAGGAGACTGGCAAGCGAGTGTTGGAATTCCAATAAGCACAATACAGTGTGAATATTTTCCTATCATCAGCAGTATTTATTGTACTGCTGTCTATTCTAATACAACAATGGAAAATATTTCAATGAGCCTTCTAATACCTTGTTATGACTGGCGAGTTTGAATGTAAACAAAAGTGTTAAAGAATCTAGCCAGATGCTCTTGTCACTAGGGAACTGATATTGCTAATTATGAAGACAACCTATAGATATGACAGAAAACATAGTCATGTTCTATGGCTTATCAACATGTTTCCAAATGTACTTTCTGTATGTAGTGGACTATATTTCTGAATTCCAATCATTGATTATTAATGAAGCAAGCATCAGAAACCTCATTAACATGATATACATTAATAACTTTATAACATTTGACTCTGAATAGCCACATCTAAATTTATACAGCTAAGACATTAGTTGTTGAAACTTTAAATCATTGTAAGATTTAGTCTGGTCTCAATCTAAGTCATATCCAATGATTAAATATTACTGTAGGGAATTGTTTTGGTTATCATGATCTGATGAAAATGACAAGACATGGTCTATGGGTCACCAGACAATTGGAAATTAGATACTTCACATACATAAATTTGTAAACTTTTTATGCAGACTATATATTGTAATATATTTTGGAAAGGTTCCCTGATCCTTTTAACGTATTAATGAAATATTAATTATAAAAAAAATGTAAAATTAACATTTAGTCTTCACAAGCCTTATCTGGAACAAAGAAGAAGGATTTATACTAATTTCATTTTGTTGATAGTCTTTGATACACTCTGAAATAAAAAGCCCAAAAGACTATAATTTAGATAATGAGGTTGATATTTTGTTTCTTGTTTTGTAAGCCCAATTTTGGTTGTTTGTCAAAGCTGATTCTTGTCAACCAAGAAGAATATTGTCTAAGCTCATGTTTTTTCCCTGCAGTGACATTGGATGATTCAGCTACTTTAATCCTTTTTCCTAAATCCTCTTCTGTTCTGGGAAGAAAAAAATCAATATAGAAAGAATTAAAAGAAGATCTAAGAGTGTTGGAATATTATTGATATCACCAATACAGACATCTGAGTGCAAATATAACGATATAACAAGTAATATCCGGAATTGCCTCATTCCAATTTATCAACCCACTAGATGATTGGTCTTCTATTCTTTCTTTTGTGCCCAGCAGACGGTGAAATTCTCGATAGGGTCTTTCAGCAGAACTGAAATTGAAGTATTGTGTAAATGATAGGGTGAATGTATGCATACCATGAGCTATATGGAATCCTTGCGATTGAATTAACAAGCAACGGTGCCGATAACTGGCAAGAATGATGGAATGATGTGGAGATTTACAGATTTACTTCTGTACCTGAAGTTGGGACAGCCAAATTAGTACTCTTCCAACTTCTACTTGATTTCCCTTGTTTAATGTCCCATCCGAAGTGGATTTGATAAGTTACATTAGGCTGGTATCATTGATGCCATGCAGTAAATATGAACATCATGACATTTTTATTTTTTTTAAAATTTATCCATCATGATTGACCATCAGTCTTGGGCATACGACAAAAATATATCTAAAGCTTGTAAGTACCCTGGAAAGTTTATGACATTATTTTCTGATCCACAAAGTACTCATTGCTTTATGCTAAATAATAGGAAGACATTCAATTATTGCTTGACTCATGTTGTATGTTCTGTCAAATACATGACAGTACATGATATAGAGGGAGAAATCAGCATTATTCTCTTGGTTATAAATAGTATCAAAATAATACTCTAGCAGAACAAAGTGGAAATTATTATATAACAAACCACGTAATTGACATTTATGGGCTGGAAAAAGAGATAAAATGTTTATAGAGACATCAAACAATTGTTAAATGAAAAGTCAGGATCTTTATTTCATATCAGATATTACCAGTCATTTCAAATGTACTTAATACTGTCAGCTATTTCACATATACTTTTGACTATTAGCTATTTTACATGTACTTAAAATTGTCAGTTATTTCAAAAATGCTTATTACTGTCAGCTATTTCACATAGAATTAACACTGTCAACTATTTCATATGGACTAAGATTAGTCAGCTATTCCACTTGTACTTTATACTGTCAGCTATTTCACATATTCTCAGTATTGTCAGCTATTTCACGTATTCTTAAATTATTACTGTTAGCTACTTCAAATATTCTTAAATTAGTACCATCAGCAATTTCACTAATCCAATACCTTTTGAATGGATTATTGCACCACTGACAGTCTTTGCAGGGCAGTTTATGTCTCAGATGCTCAGTATTGTCTGTACCCATTTTCCCTTTAAGTTTCAGACAATAGATTTTTAAAAATAGTCTTTAATCGCAGATCTTGTCTCTCTGTGTTGCTATCAAATCATCTGAACAATTTCCTGCCAATTGCAGGAAAATGGTTAATTAGCATGTTTTTGAAGAGATAAAAGGTTTAAAATGATTCACTGTACTTTATGATATCCTAGCTAGGGATAGATTTCAGCTTTGATCATAACAGTTTTATAACTTCATAGTCAAATTAGAAACTGATTAAGTCTTTTATACTGTGATGAGGTTTCAACATAAATGGCAAATGATGATATAGGTTCAAGACCTTGTCTTTATTATACTGCTAATGGCAACATAAAAAGCTTAGATATTTTATAATTGGGTATGCTCTAGAACAGCTATTTGAATTTACTGGTATTAGATTCTACTATAATCTCTGATTATTATTTCTGTGTTTTTTGGCTAATAGATTTAGATACATGCTAGGTATCCAATTCCAGCATATGTCAAAATACTTCTCAGAACTTGTTTCAACTGCTATGGATATGAGGAACTGACACTGAAAAAGCATCTGGTAGTAAGAACGGGACTAAGAATTTAGGCTTCATACAATATAAGATAGGAATGTTAAGGTTTTCCGTGAAAGGTAAAAGTAAAATACCACTGTAGTGGCAAAACTTACCTCATTGCACACTGCGTGTTATTATCTAATCTTCATGAGGGGCAGATTATTGGATGTAAAATTGCATTTTTGCCTGTGAACATTACAAGATACTTATTAATATTAGATTAGTCGTAGACATAACCAAAAAGCACATTACATGATATTGAACTCATTTGATAGATACTAATATGAAAAAACATCTGTTTAAGGTTTTCTATTGATTTATCATATAACGGTATTCTTATACTGAATATATAAAATACTACATATAGATATATAAAACAATAGATTCTAAGATGTCTAGAAAAGATTACTTTTAATGAACAGGTTCCTGCTATTGTCAAAGCATCATGTAACTTGACTTTTTGTTTGAAATGGTTTCATGGAATATATAATAATTGACTTACATATTTGTTTAGAAATCTGAATCAGCCACAAAATTAGATAATGGTCCTGTAATCATAACAACAGTCATATTTTAATTATGTCATATAAGATACATCTGGCAAATTGAACAAAATCAACATCCCTGTTTGAATATTGCTATGTGTCTGCGAATTAGGTCAGTATAAATTTTGGAATACTCGGTACCCAGTCCAAAAATTTTACTTGGGTTCGTAAACCTAGGTATTGATTATTTTAACTGATAAATTATACCTTGAAAAGAAAGTGAAATTGATAACCTTTAATGTAATATCTTGTTGACATTTCAGAGAGATTATGAGAGAAATTCAACGCTTAAGACTGGAACAAGAAGCATTTGCACAGGAAAACGCTGAGGCTCAATATAACCCTACTTTATTAGCAGAATTACGTATATTAAGACAACGGAAAGACGAATTGGAGTCAAGAATGCAGTCATTACAAGAAAGCCGCAAGGAGTTAATGGTTCAATTAGAAACTCTAATGAAACTTTTGAAGGTAATTATTGTGTAAAAGACTGTCATGTTTGAACATCATGAACTGATGATTGTGTTTAAATTGACATTATCATTTAAATATTGAATGAGGCAAATCTTTATTACAGATTGATTCTACATGGTTTTATAGTGATAATACCACAAATAACTATAAAACATCCCATACATATTACCTACTTGTTTTAAATAATTTAGCAGAAATATTTTGTGTCTTGATTCAACTCATAAACATACCTGTCCACTCTATATTTTGGAAGAATAAGAAGTTATTGAAACTATAAAAATAACCAAATTTTATCAAAATCCAAACCAGCTCTCTGTATATTATAAATTGATTGCGTTTTAAAGAACAAGGGCGATAACCCATATTAAATATTTGATTATTAAATGTCTGATTTTCAATAGGGTACATCTTTGGGTGATTAAGAACAATCAGGCCAAGTTTTGTCAAAATCCATCAAGAAACCAGCTCTCTGAATCGGACGGACGGACGGACTGACAGACGGAGTAGATGGCTATATATGCCCATATTAATGTGTGGGGGTATAAAAATTGGATTGCTCATGTTTTGAATCAGACCTGAATCTTTCTAGACTTTAAAAGTGTTTCATATTATCTTATATTATTAGACTATATCCTCATTTCCGATTCCAAAACATTATTTCCCTGTGAAATTTTTTCATGGAGCTGTAAATATCTGTGCACCTAAGAAAATGGAAATAAATATTATGAAATCAATAAAATGGATGGATATAAGGCCTAAATTATATTGGCTGCTGGTATTTGTTTGGCTTTATAAATACTCTTAAAACCAGAAATAACCTGACATGCTTGAGATTAGCTCTAATCTTAGATTATTTTTAAAAATAGATTAAAAAACTTTTATCCTAGTCTTCAATTACGCAATTATATAGAGACATTAATCATGATTCAACATGTCTGACTGAAATATCTTTTAAAAGCAAAATGTCAATTTCTGCCCACTTGTATTAGAAGAATTGTGGGACAGTTATACTTGTTACTATAACAGTTGAACTTAGGCTCTGAATAAAGAATTAATAATGTTCAGCAGATGTGGTTTAACATGTTCAAGTGATTGAATTGAAGCTAGTTATTTTGGTATGTAAGCCATCAAAAGTAGGCACATTTAGCAATAAATCTGAATTTTCTTCTTTTTAATACTTGATAATTTAACAATTACTAATTTTTGCAGGGAAATTGGTGGTTATTGGATCAACCCTAGATTTCATTGCAGTTTTCAGTACTTATAGTTTAACCATTGTTGGACTCTGAATGCATTGTTTTAATACATCTAAGTAATCTTTACACTATTTTCAAAAAAATGGTTTGTCAAATTATTTGTTTTTCAGAATCAACCAAGTTCTCAGCGTTCAACACCAAATAGTTCGCCACGATCTCGCAACGCCATGTCTCCCACTATCATCAATAATGTTAATAATAATAAAGTCAATTCACCAAGTACACCAATGGAGTCTTCCCTGACTGGTCTAGGTGGTGATGTCAGACAAGCATTTAGTCAGCGTCCGTCTGCTAGTATTAATAATGTTGGTGGTATGGGAAATTTCCGTCAAGATTTACTAGTAGCTGCTGATTCTGTAACCAATGCCATGTCTTCTTTAGTCAAAGAGTTGAATTCAGGTTGGTATTTTGACATTTTGTGGCAGATATATAAACCTAGATGATCCATGGAATTCATTCTGAGTAGGGAACCAATTTATCAGGGTCTGTGTATGATGTTTTTACATATTTACTTGAAAAATGAATACTTGTGGGTATGCCAATGGTTAATGAATTATACAGAAGTACCAAATTTATTTGAATACAAATGTATTCAGAAATGACATTGATAAGGAACCTGTGTTTTTCTGCAAGGAATGCCCTCTTGCATATCAACTTTCACCAACCTTGTAAAATATCCAATTGTTCAATATTGTTCCAATTCAACAACAAAAAATAATAATTGGTCAGAATTGACAGGTATATTAGTTTATATTTCCCAATAGTCTATATCTGTTTACTAATGGTGTATAAATGTGAATAAGTCAATTGGCCTTGTAAATGCCAACAAAGGATGGCAATTACTAATAATAAAATTGTTTTATTCCCATCGTGTCTGTCATTCCAAAACAATCAATAAGCAAACACTGTCTAATTTGAGCAGATCAAAATGTCATCGGCTGTCAGACCTGAAAGCAATTGTCTTGTCGATAGAGGCTAGGGATTGAAGTCATGTCTATAATATGATAACTATAATGGATTTCATTAAGTCTAAAATAGCATCATGTATAATGGTTGTCCAGTCAGATCAATAGATAATGGTATTAGTAGAAACTAATGAAGTGTATTGTTGTCCAGTGAGAATATATGAGTAAATACCACATCAACAACATTATTACTAGACAATACATTATATATAATGTTATATTAATAATGCTCAGCAAGTTTCAAACATAAAAAAAAATATTTTGCAAAAATGATATGATTTTTTGAATTTTGAATACAAAATTTTATGAATAATGCTTTGTTCATTTAAAAAAAGGATTTAACATTCTAAACAAACAATATTAGGGTGATGCTTAGTTCACAAACCTAGTCTTAGAGTGACATCAGGTTTTCTGGAATAATGAGCATGTCCTTCTGACACCCACTTCAATAGTGAGCTCAAATTCAATCAATCTTTGTGACTTTAACTATTTAACCTTCTTAATAATAAATATTAGATGTATTTGTATTATAGAAAATAGTGATGAAGATGAATTTAGTACCAATGGACATCAGTCAGGTAAATAACCCTTATCCCTTATTACTTAATATATTTTCAAGCACAGAATATATCAGATTTAGCTTAGAGTTTATTCCAAATTGAGAAAATCATTGTTCAAACTTTGTTTTACATCAAAGGTTTTATTGTCTGGCTATGTTCATGTATGACCCAGTCGTATGAAGATGCCTACCAAACTGTATTCCAAACCGAAATTTGAGAGGAATTTTTTAAAGAATGTCATTCAATGTCTTTTATAGCTGAAATAGACTTACTTACGCTATATGTACTTTGACTAGTTTTATCATACTTGGAAACCTTGTTGTAGAAATGTAGCCAGCGGATCTATTTTTTGAAAAGTACCAAAATAACACTGTAAGATCTTTGAGAGGAATGATGAAGTTGACAGTCTAGTTACAGAGTGGTATCAAGTGTTCAATGGAGTTGAGGATACCCTTCCTAATAAATATTGTTATATACACATCTGTTTTGATTATTATTTTAGTTATGTATGAATCAGATGCTATGATAAGATCAACAGGATCAGAAGAAATGGATTCATGGAAAGATGACATACAATGGAGGTTAAAACAAGAATCTGAGTTTTTAGCTCAACTACGAGCCAGACGACAGAGGAGTGCTAATAGTAGTAGAGCTGGTAGTGATACTGAACCAGATAAGTAAGTAACATTATAAACAATAGATAAAATTATTTCTTTCCACTATTGACTATCAGGAGTAAAGAATATGACCACTAGCTAAACAATGAAAGATGTTATAATATTCCAAGGGCTCTAAACTGTTAAGGCATGACCATCTGTTGAAATATGGCCATAGAAGTTGCGTTTTGCTTCTGAAAGGTACTTTAAACATATGGTTTTGACAAGATCCAATTGTTGTGTTTGAAATTCATAATTTTGAATTATAATCTAGATTTTCTTCCTATGGAATGAGTAGAAGAGTTGTTCATCTCTCAAGGATTTAAATACCAATGTTACATCCAAAGCAGATGTGAATGGTGTCCAAGAAGGTCTTTTCTATCAGTAAATTTCAAGCCCTTACAGATTATCAAATCATTAGACCAGGCCTGTCAGACGGTAATTTATGACAGGAGAAGGGAACCATGGTAGAATTTATTAACTGTTAACTCCATTGAATTTTTAGCTACATTCCGTCAGATGGTGAATCCTATGTAAGAACTGATGATGAGAGTGCTCTAGCTACTGATGATGTAGAATCCTATGATAGAATGTTTCGATCTTTAGAAGAATCAGAGTTAAGTTTGAGAGATAACCACTCAAAAGTAAGTATAACAGATTTCTTATTGATTATTTGGAAATTTTACTTGTTATAAAAAGGGGTTTAATAATCATAATGTATAGGCCAGCAAAGATTTATTTAAACAAGAACAGTCCATAAGATTTTTGGGGTAAAAATGAAAACAATATAAGTCTAGCTACTACTTATTCTACCTCCAAACGAAAAGATTTCTGTAGTTCGTGTTTTAAATCTTAAACAGCATAGATATCTCTGCTCAACTATATCAAAATGTATTACAACATTGTCTTTTTCAGCAACAACCAATAGATGTTATGACAAGCAGTAGGTACTCGACAGATCAAGAAAGTTATTTACAAACAGACGACGAATCTTTTATTAGAACTGATGATGAGGAAGGTGGCGGAACAGATTGGGAGGAGTCTAATCGCCGCTGGATTAATCGCTGATTTTTAACCTCTGTTATTGTGATATTTAGTCATTCCCACCCATCGATTAATACTCATTTATCTTAACGATATCAGAACAAATAGTCTATTTTTAGTAACTCTTTCATTCCTGACAACTGACATGTTCGGAACTGACATGGTTGAAACATTTGTGGTGTGGTATGTTGCATTACAGGCTAAGATTAGAAATACAATGTAATAAATAATGAACATGTTATAAGCTTTACAGAACAAATAGTAGTTTTAAGACTTTATTGATGAGAGCCTATGATTAAGTCCTGATAGTAAAGAATCTATTCCATATGATTTTACACCATGAATGTACTAATGGTTGATAAATAAAGAGTTTATTAATATGAAAGGAGACAGGTCAATTCCATAAATTAGTTCTCCTTTTTCATCAGCTATAATTTTGATCCATCAATGAATTCTTTTGTTTAAAACTGTTATGGATAATGCTTAGGTTAAAACATCTCGACATGATATGATCACTATGAAATAAGATCTTTAGCAATATGAACACTATGAAAAAAGATCTATAGTAATATGAACAATATGAAATAAGATCTATAGTAATATGAACAGTATGAAATAAGATCTGTGGTATTATGAACACTATGAAATAAGATCTATAGTAATATGAACACTATGAAATAAGATCTATAGTAATGAACATCTTAAAATAAGATCTATAGTAATATGAACATTATGAAAAAAGATCTATAGTAATATGAACATTATGAAATAAGATGTATAGTAATATGAACACTATGAAATAAGATGTATAGTAATATGAACACTATAAATTAAGATCTACAGTAATATGAACACTATGCAATAAGATGTATAGTAATATGAACACTATAAAATAAGATGTATAGTAATATGAACACTATGAAATAAGATCTATAGTAATATAAACACTATAAAATAAGATCTATAGTAATATGAACACTATGAAATAAGATGTATAGTAATATGAACACTATGAAATAAGAGTATAGTAATATGAACACTATGAAATAAGATCTATAGTAATATGAACATTATGTAATAAGATGTATAGTAATATGAACACTATGAAATAAGATCTATAGTAATATGAACACTATGAAATAAGATCTATAGTAATATGAACAATATGAAATAAGATCTATAGTAATATGAACACTATGAAATAAGAGTATAGTAATATGAACATTATGTAATAAGATGTATAGTAATATGAACATTATGTAATAAGATGTATAGTAATATGAACACTATGAAATAAGAGTATAGTAATATGAACACTATGAAATAAGATCTATAGTAATATGAACATTATGTAATAAGATGTATAGTAATATGAACACTATGAAATAAGAGTATAGTAATATGAACACTATGAAATAAGATTTATAGTAATATGAACATTATGTAATAAGATGTATAGTAATATGAACACTATGAAATAAGATCTATAGTAATATGAACACTATGAAATAAGATCTATAGTAATATGAACATTATGTAATAAGATCTATAGTAATATGAACACTATGAAATAAGATCTATAGTAATATGAACACTATGAAATAAGATCTATAGTAATATGAACATTATGTAATAAGATGTATAGTAATATGAACACTATAAAATAAGATCTATAGTAATATGAACACTATGAAATAAGATCTACAGTAATAAGAGAGACATGACATAGGCAACTCACTCTGTGTAAGAAATCAGTAAATGTCATCTATTGATTGTCATCAACAACAGATTAACAAATAATAAATAAATAATGACAACGTTCAATACAATCTACTATATTGTTTATAATTTACACTTCATAACCGTAACAATATGTCAAGTTAGGTTTAACAATGAAAGGTTAGGTCAAGTTTCATAAACCAGCTATCTGATGATTTTTTGTGAAACAGGGCCGAGGGATTTTTTTATATTTTGTTGTTATGAAAATTTGGAATATATTATAATAGTATATAATAATAAATCTGCCAGTATAAATATTTAATTGAAAGAAACCATTGTGGAAGTGAACAAGCACACAGATTCAAATTATTCAATTATTTCATTAGTAGAGCGCTTTTCCTGGAACATTAGGCGTTTCAGTTCATGGATTTAATTTTAGAACTTTGTTTCAAATTGTGTTTTTATGTTGGTGACTTTATTCATGATCATTGGAAATTATTATTCACCATTGATTCGAGGTTTTTTTTTATATTGGTGAGCATGAAAAATGTTGATAATCACAACTGAACTAGATTGTAAAGGAGAATTTCTTCATATATGTTGAGTGAAGTAACCAACAAAAAACATGAAACGAAACATCTATTTCTGTATTTTAACAGTGTATGATTGTAAATATGTGTATATTATAGTAGATTAATAAGCCAGGAGAAATGCAATATAAATATATTTTTAAATACCTTTATTCGTCCCAATTTTCTGTGTTGTTTTGATATATATACACAGCAATAGAAGTCAGACCAAAATGTACTTCTATTTTTGTGTTGTGAGAACCTTTGATGTATCCTTAAACCCAATATTATTAGGCTTGATTCAACTAGTTACAAATCTTGACTTTTAGGTTATTTATTTTATATATATCTGATCAAATTTGCCAGTTGAAAGTTGAAATATATTTGATTACTGGAAAGAGAAATATGGTTCAAAATCTAGTTGATAGATTACATAAGTACAAAGTAAAATTTATTGTAAAAAGATTTGTATTTATTTTGAAAGAAAATACGCCAGATTAGTTGACTGTTGAATCAAATCAAAGTGTTGTTCAATATGTCATTGTATTATTTTGTATGTTTGACAATCAATGAACTGTATAATTCAGGATGAAATTGATCATAGTTACAACTACCTTTTAGTAAGCTATATTATTTTATTGAATGGTTACATTTGTTATTACTGAAAGTAAGAAATGTTAAAGGCATAGAAAGACAAGTACTATTGTTAAACCTTAAACATTTACAACATCCAATTTTAGATTGGCATTTGAAACCAGTGGGACAATTGAACTTCGTAGTGAAAGAGACCATACTCCAATGATAATCAGATAAATTACACCAAACGTTTTTGGCTGATAATGTAATGTGGTAGTGTTTATGTAAATAGCTTCACTTTTGTATATATGTCCTCAAGGTTGTGAAATGTTTCTGCCATTTTAGAAAGAAGAATTTTATCTGGAGTAAGGTTGTATCAAGCACTATAACTGTTTTAGATTTTACATTATATAGATTTTATTAAGTAGTTTATTAGTAGTGACATTTCTGCTGATCTCATCACCTATTTAACCATGTATTTAGGCCTGCTATAAGGTAATTCATTGAGTTTAATTTTAATACCACATTTGGGTTAAATAATCTTTAATGTAAAAATTAAGAAATGAGTTCTGGAAAAGACTACATAATAATACCAAGACAAATCTTGCAAATTTATCATCCTTACATAATGATGTTAACTAACCAGTATCTGTTTTCCTGGAAAATGGATTAATTTTAATTAACTCCCCTGATATTACATTATATTTGTTAGTGAATCTTTTATAAGCTTTAATCTTTGTTCAGTTTTTTTTGCTTTTTTGTTGTTGTTTTGTTAATTTTAGTCTTTGTGTTGTTTTATTGTTTATTTGTATATTGTCTGCAGTTTCAGTATTCCTCTTATATACATTACATTTACAGTTAAAATATTAAAACAACAGATTGCTACTATTTTATACAGTTGTCATCATAGATTCTATATGTACACAACTCAGATTTAAAAACATTCATGTATCTGTTGTATAACTATAAGCCTACTTTAACTTTGGTTGATGTAGGATAATATACTAATAGAACATTTCATCTGTAAATCTATTCATATTGTAAGTATTAACTATGTGCCGTAGTCTTTAATATTGAAGAGTTGCTTAATACAGAAATAATATTATTATACTAAACTAGGCATGGTTCTTACATGAAAAAAACACACATGAAGATAATTCACAACCATTCTACTCTACTTCACCTTAATAAATTGAATTTCTTCAAAAGTTTTTAACAAAACCTTCAAGTCACAATCAAAGCCATTTCTAAACCTCTAAATGTGATATGATGGCTTTGTTGAAATATTGTAGTATTTTTTAAAAATTCTTATTTAATTGAGGAAGAGATTCAAAATGGCTGTGAATCATACGTAGTTTGGTATATTATTATGTGTTTCTGATTACGATAGTGCAGTTATTTTCAATTATTTGTACCAATAAATAGTTATACTGTTAATTTTTATTTAACTGATCTACCAACTCATAACTTGTTATCAATCTGAATAAAATAATTGTTATCAAATTTAGTTATTATGTTCAGGCTCTTATCAGACATATTACGTCATTTTTATACGCCCACATGAAATGGGGGGCATATATTGCCGTCACCTCTTTCCGTCGGGCCGTCCACAATTGCTCGTAAACACTCTACAAGGCACAATTCTTGACTGATTTCGACGAAACTTGGTATGGTTGTTTGTAATCACCCAAGGATGATTTGCTATTGAAAATCAGACGAAACGAAAAATATTTACTATGAGTTATTGCCCTTGTTCTTGAAACGCTCGTAAACACTCTAGAAGGTGCAATTCATGACGGATTTTGACGAAACTTGGTATGAGTGTTTGTTATCACCCAAGGATTAACCCTATCGAAAATCAGAAAAATTGAAATATATTTATTATGAGTTATTGCCCTTGTTCTTAAAAACGCGTTCAATTTTTAGCTCGTAATTGCCCTTGTTCTTGAAAACGCGTTAAATTTTTAGCTTGTAATCACTCTAGAAGGCACACTTGTTGACAGATTTTGATGAAACTTGATGTGAATGTTCGTTATCACCCAAGGATGAACCCTATTGAAAATCAGAAGAATTGTAAAATATTTAGTATGAGTTATTGCCCTTGTTCTGGAAAACGCTTTCAAATTTAGCTCTTAAATACTAAAAGGCATGATTCTTACTAGATTTTGACAAAACTTGGTTTCATTATTCAGTCCTGAAGATTGAATATTTGCCTTCTAGAGTTTTCACAAGCTAAAAATTGATCAATATTATTCAGTATCGCCCTAAAGAGTTCAAAAGAAGTGTATGACTGAAGGTTGAATATTTCATACTGGTTATTGTTACTGTACTTCTAAATATTTTTATTCAAAATCAAATCTGCCAGTGGGCGTATATTACCTTGCCTGGCAAGCTATCTCTAAGATGACAAGGTCACATTTTGGCCATTGCACTCCTCAGAAAATAGAGTCCAACCCTTTTGCAATTGTTTGGGCTAAGTAGTACACAGAGTTTCGGTTTGTTATCCCATCCTTTTTCATGTTGGCTCCTTCTGCCTCACAGACAGTGGGAAACCAAATTGAAACAACCTTTTTTGTTCTATACAATTTATTGCAATCAATTCATTCCTTCAACCATCCATTCATTTTTTAGACATAGTCTTTTTCTTTTTCTTCTTTTCTTTCTGCCTATTGACCTTCGCACGTTTAATTTTAGGATTCCTGGCTATTTTTTCTATCATAGGTCTCTGAATGTCACTGTCTTTCTTCATTTTACTTAAAGCATCTGTATTTTCTGTAAACAAATAAATGGTAAATTGCTAAAAATAATCGAAAACAAATATCGCTCATCTGTGGAATATCTGATCAATGATAGATGATGAAGATCAGGTAATACCATAAAGTGAGCAATGAGGAAGATTGGCATCACAGCCTCGTCCCACCATTCTACCAATTTAGGTCCAAAAGGTTAAGTTCACAACAACGTTCATAGCAAGTTTATATAAAATGTACTCACCTGTTTGTGGCATGACTAACTTTCCCATCTTAGTTGGGTATTTACCAGAAAATGTTTTAGGTGCTAGAGGTTGTTTTAATGATTGTTTTAAAGAAGAACGTAATTGTTCTAATTTAACCCCATGTCTTCTCTGTTCTTCACTGTCACCAAGATCAACTAATCTGACACAGTAGTTAAAGATTATTTAATATAGCATGCTGTCCATGTTGTTACAACCAATGTAAATTTGTAATGCATAAAGATGGCGGATCATGTCAAGATTCACCCCCTAGAAATAGCTGCCAACTACTTGTAGCTTCAGTTTTTCTGTGGTAAAAAGAAATGTGAGAAAAACAGAATATTGCAACAACAGTATGTAGTACATGTAGGCATTTAAAAAGTGATACACCTACTCTAAATTATTTTATAGGATACAATTTCTCATCTTCTATATCTATTTCCATTTCTTCAGCAGCTTTAGAAAACCAATCATTCTGTCTTTTTACTTTGGTGAATCTATTATCAAACATTGTATGAGATGAAATTATAGAGGAATTTTACAGTTTACTTTTCTGCTTCAATGAGGCCAGGAGAGCTAGGGAACACCATGCAATGTACAATGAAGGACATTTTGACAAAATCAGCAGCATCAACCTTCTCTTTTTGATTTCCAACTGTCAAGTCTGAGCATAGCCTGTAGAAGACAGGACCTCAGATTATTGTCCCATTTAAAGAACTTTTTCCATATAAATGTATACAGTTATAATGCCACTGGACCTACCTATGATCTAACTTGTCTATTTCTAAAGCTTGACGTAATTGAGCTTTTAACAGTGGTATATATTGATATTCTACAGGAAATACTGGCAACTCTTCATCTTAAAACAACAAGAAAGGTGGAGAATAGATTTATTAACAATAATAATAACTAGGGAATAGCTCAGTCATAATGGTTGTCATCTGTATGATTTCATAGCACATTAATTTAAAAAGCTTGCTGACATAAATAGTTTATTTGCTGCTACCAAATTGTCAAACTGTTTTGGATTTTAAGTTTCATTTTGCAGTTTGGATCGTTAATACTTGTTTTTTCATTATATTCATAATACTTCAGTGTCCACTAAGAATTCTGTAGCTAGAATCAGGGATGTACAAACCTGCCATCTTTGCATGAGCTTTTACAAATAATAATTTCTTTTCTTACCTCTATTCAGATTTTTGATGATTTTTCTATAATTTTGAACATCATCTTGACTTATCAACATAACACTGAGACCCTCCTGATTAGCTCTAGCTGTACGTCCACTACGATGGACATAGTTCTCTATGGTACGAGGTACTTGATAATGTATAACATGTTGGACATTAGGTATATCTAAACCTCTAGCAGCTACATCAGACGCCAGAAGAAATCCATCTGAATTTCCTGGAAATTTCAAAGATAATACTATAAAAATCTTGAAAAAGTTTTATTACCATTTTGAGGATTGCAAAGCACATCTTCTGTTTTAAATAGAACTTAACATAGCTATAAAAACAGAAGGATCTTGACATCATCATCATCATCATATGCTTTGCTACAATGACATTTTTTTTAATACTAA